TGCCTACTATTTTCCACTTCAAATTTTAGCTTTCAAAGAGAAGGCTTACTTTATCATGGTGTTTCTAATGCACAGAAAGGTTGCAGTGCTAACCTGTGTATTTGGAACCTCTGTACAAGCATTAAATAATAAGAGCGACTGCCTTGTAATAAGTGGTTATGGGAGACTTGACTATATGCAAGTTCAGTTTTATTACATATTTAATGAATCTCATGAATCCATATTAAAGCTAAAATTACAGTTGCATTTTCTAAAGTTGTCATAACATGACTGTCTCTTAGGTAGTGGTAGTTTTAAATTGGCTGTATTACGCACTTAATTTTCATATCAAATATTTTCCAACTAAGAATATGAAAGCAATTACCTATTTTGGTACAGATTTTTTTTCCCCTCTGGGTGCATGACCATGCATCTTGCTCTTGGCAGGCTGCTTTTACAGTCTACTGCTATGCCTAAATTTATTTTCACATCTAAGAAGACAGAAATTAAAAGAGAGACAAACTTTGAAAAAGAAAAAAAAGGAAAAGAAAAGAAGCAAGATATGTCTGACTTGCTCCTTTTAAAAGTTACCTTCTCTGGAAAGTGTTTTTCAGGATAATTGCCTCCTAAAGGAGCTCTGCTATGAACAACCCATACTGCCAGTTTATGAAGGTTCTGGGGTGTTATACAGCAATAATAATAATTAAAAAAACCCCAATAGTTGAAAAACATTCCTTGATACAGCAAAAACAAGTGAACTTGTCTAGGAATGGAAAAAAGCAGCATGTACTATATACGTTGTTGCTACCTGTAAGCAACCTCTGTGGAGGCAGGTGGGCTCTGCTCTTACGTATGGTAGCATTTATGTGGGACTCAGAAATGCGAAGATCTAACTGAGGCACTGTAAGAAATGGATCTCTCTGAGCACTTGATCACAGGAATGGCCAAGCTGAATTGCTTCCTTGCTTAAGTTTTAGATCTAAGACCATCGCCAAATCACACACATCTGAGCTTAACTTTATAGCTTTTTTTGCCTTCTTGACAAACATGTTACACAAAATGTGTAAACAAACCAGGGCTAACAGCCACTGACCAGTCTAGATCCGAAGAGACACGAAGAGAAATGCAGGTCAGTATTTTGCCTTCAGAGGGCATTCTTGGGTAAACGTGAAGTGGTAAGATTTCACAGCTGAAGATCCAAAATTTGTTTCCCAGGTGGTCCAGCAGAACTATCAGTTGTTGCCCTTCCAGACAAGCTAAAGGGCTGTCAGCCTGCTCATGCTTTTGCATAAGGAATGGCTAGAAAAGATAGGCGGCTATGGCTACCTGTGTGGTTCAGAAGCATATCCCACCTCACACCTTTTTGTCAAGCTAGTTGCATCTCAGTATCAGGATGTCACACTGCAGTACCTGCTGTGGGTGGCAGCAGCCTAAATGCAGTCTGTGCCTTTGAAAAGATAGGGCATGTATATCTCAAACAAGGCGTCTTTCTCTGCACAAAGTGCACTCTTTTAAAACAAGAAAATCTTTAAAAGGATACTGCTGTCCAAGTAAGGATGAGGGTGAAGTATTTGTTTGTTCGAGATCAGCTGAAGTTACTAAAAATCAGCAGGTCTAATCCGAGTTGAGTACTTTGCTCTGCTCTGGCTAACAGAGACATATTAAGAAATAGCATTTCACAGACTGTAGACAATGAAGAAGTCCTTCTTTAACACATGGACTTTTGAGCATGTGATGTCTTGTAATTTTGGTGTATAAAGCCTGTAGCAGCGTGAGAAAATAAGACAATGGAAATCTGGTTTGCTGACATACCCTTCCATGCCTGGGAAGCAATGTGAAAATGGAGGGGCGGGATTTTACTGTCAAGCAGGTCTTTTTTGTCACGGTATAAAAAGAAGTCTTCACAGTCTGTTCCCTGTCCGAAAAAAGAAGTCTCAGCATTCCTTC